AGTTTTTAGAAGTTTAAGCATTCACTGTATGCTTTGATCCCGCCTCGTAAACTGAAGATTGCAACGCTCCCCAAATGTCTCCAGATTTTAGTGTTTACCTGAGAATTCAGAGGACCTGGGCAGTCAAGAGAAGTCTGAAAGGACGCAAGTGGAGACTCAGTTCCCCATTTCGCTTTGGCCTTCCTTCTTTCTACCTGTGACCCCGCCCCAGCGTCAGCCAGGAGCCGTGGTGGACCGCCCTGTCACTCCTGCGCAGGCAGGCAGGACTGCATGCAGCAGGGCTGCTTTCCTTCCCGCGGGAACCCGACATCGCAGCTTTGTAACTCACGCGTCCTGACGCTAGGTGGCGGCGCCGCGCCAGTCTCTCCACGCAGCTTTGGCCCGAGAGCAGGGCCCAGGACCTGACCTCAACGCACCAAGTGCACTGAGCTACAGGGGAGTCGCCAGAGTCCCAGGATAGCAGGATTTCTCGGCAGCACACAGAACCTTAGACTCTGAACTGAACTGCCAAAGGGCCAGCGTACAAGGCACAGATCAGGCTCAGGATGCTCTGGTTCGAACCCAGTTACTCACAGGAAACCAGAAATGCCCTCTAGGCATCATCAGGCCGCGCAAAAAAAAAAAAAAAAGCAAGATCAGTACACACGACTGACCTACACGCTGCTCCCTATTTTTCTCTTCCTGGTGAAGCCGCCGCTGTATGGGGAAGACTGAAGACCTCACTCTTCTGGAGAAGGAACTATGGGCCAGGTGTCGGGGGTTTTACTTTGACTCTGTGGAGCATTTTGAAGGCTGGGGCAGGCCGCGTCCACTGCTGTGCCTCTTTGGCCTTATGGCTGAGAGGAGAGACCTGCAGCAATGGCCTGGAGGGAGCCCAGGCTGTGGGGGCATCACTGTCGGCCTCCAGGACCCAGGCTGCTCCGGGAAGGCACTCGGTGTGCACATGGCAACAGGAATTCTTTCAAAGGCCCACGGAACTGTACCTTGGACATTTTTGGTAAGATACACAGAAAACCATGAAGCTGACACATACAGTGTTGTGTGTTTATTACAGTGGTCGGGGCAAAGCAGTTCTTCACACTGGATTAGTGAGGAATGAACAGAGGACGATGAGGAAACAGTAATGTAGAACTGAGAAACAAATTCAAAATAAAAACAAGCAGTTATTATTATTATTATTATTATTATTATTATTATTATTTTGCAATACTTGCCAGGCAAGCCCTTATTCCACTGAGCTATCTCCCCAGTCCACAAGCAGTTTTTAAAGCAAGCAATCCACTTTAAGTAAAAGGGAATTCTGAAGCAAGCCACATGGCCTTAAAATACTTGTTTCGGCTGGTTTGTGCTTTTTTTTTGGTGGAACTGGGGATTGAACTTAGGCCCTTACACTTGCCAGGCAAGTGCTTATTCTACTGAGCCATCTCCCTGGCCCCTGTGCTAACTCTTGAGGAGTAGGTAACCCAGGATCTAAGAACCTGTCACTAGAGTCATCTGGTGAAGCTGTCTGGGCATTAGCTTGCCATTGGGTCAAAATAGCCAATGTGGAACTTAGAGGCAGCCAGGTTTACGCCAGCGCGTACTCTAGAAGCTGCAGCCCGGCGTGGTCGGCGGGCCATGGGCAGGAGCGGTGTGGTGGGAGGGTGGGCAGAGGATAGCTGCTTCCTCATGGTAGGCAGGAAGCAGGAAAAATGAGGTCACTACCAGGTCCCACCCAGCGTGACCACCTCTACTCCCAGACCCACTCCTGTAGCAGGTCAGCTGGAACAGCCCTAATCCAGTGACTCTGCAAACTGTCACTTCAGACCTAAGCTATAAGAAAGATCCCAAGAAGTTTTACTTATAAGAGCTACATTCATTAAATTAAAAATTAATTTTAAAACTAGTAGGGGTTTTTTTGGTATTGAAGTACTAGTGGTTGAACCACTGAACTACATCCCAGCCCTTTTTATTTTTTCCATTATGTACTCTTTTTTTGTGCCACCAGGGATCTAACCCTGACCTTTGTGCATGTGAAGCACACACTACACTGCTGCCTCCCCATCCCTTTTCAATCTTTTGTTGTGAGTCAGGGTCTCCAAATTGCCCAGGTTGGCCTTGAACTTTCAATCCCTGCCTCACTCTTCTTAGTATCTGAATGGCTGGTACACTGTCACTCAGGCCCAGAACTATGCTGAAACAATCACTCTGATGGGCTAACATGACTCCACTTTGTTTCTGGTCTCCGTCTTAGTCCCTTAAACTCTAGATGATGGGGGCCTGCCCATTAGCTCAGGTATTTAAGTGCCTGCTGAAACAAAGCAGTCAGGCTCAGGATGCTGTGGTTCAATCCCCTCATCCTCAAGTCAAACCAGACCTGCCCTGAAGGCATCCTGAGGGGCCCCTCCCCCCAAAAAAACTCTAGATGAAGTCACTTCTCACCCCTCCCTTTAAGCTACCCATGAAACACACGAAGGAAGAGCAAGTCATTACTAAAGAAACAGTGAGGACAAACTGTGGGGTAAGCTAAAATCTAACTGCATCCTGCCTGACTGAAATAATGGGCAATGTAAACCTTGTGACATTCTTGTAAAATTCCAAAGTGAACTAACATGGTTACAATGGCTATTTGAGAATTATAAAAACTCAGTACAGCCGGGGAGATAGTTCAGTGGCACAAGCACCTGCCTGGCAATTGCAAGGTCCTAAGTTCGATTCCCAATACCAAACCAAACCAAACAGCATAAAAACTCTTTGGGGATGGGAATTCTGACTAGCTATAGGTGGGGGCCATCTACCAGCAAAACTAAAACTTGCTTATATCCGTTCTCAGCTTCTGAGAGAGCTTCTTACAATCGGCCAGAACAACTGGACAAATTCATTGTCACACCCATCACCCACTCTCTCCCCAAATCCCCACCTACAAGTACATGAGGCTTGGGGGGACATCTAGCTATGACCCATAACAGAGAGGAATGTCCTTTTTGAGATACATTAATTTTATAATTGTGGCAGTATTTTATATGTTCCTAAAAATATTTCTAAATATATCATCACATTTTCCTAAAATGCCACTCTAATTTTTTTTGTTGAACAAGCATGGCTTTTAAGACACATTTTTTTTTTTTTTTTTGCGGATCCAGGGATTGAACTCAGGCCCTTGCGCTTGCCATGCAAGCACTTCTTCTACTGAGCCATCTCCCTGGCCTTAAGGCACAATATTAATAGCAACTTATTTTTTTCCCCCATTCTCTCTCCAAAACTGTTCATTGAAAGATCATTTTCTTGTTCTTGGGTGGGAGTTTTGTTAATAGCTTAACTTCTGAATCATTCCTTCTAGGAAATGCCCAATTACTGTTTTTTTGTTATTTCTGCTACTGAAGACTGATCCCAGGAAGTGCTGAGCTACATCCCAATCCTGTATTTATTTAATTTTTTTTTTTTTTTTGGTGCAGAACCAGGGATTGAACTCAGGCCCTTGTGCCTGCCAGGGAAGCGCTTATTCCACTGAGCCATCTCCCTGGCTCCTATTTATTTAATTTTGAAACAGTTTCACTAAATAGCCCAGGCTGGCCGGAACTTTCTTTCTTTCTTTTTTTTTTTTTATCAGCATAAAAATTTATTTTAATTCAAAATAATGTGGTTATATTTAGAATAATGTTATAATTATCTAAAGCAAATATCACCATTGGCTCTGAAACAGTTTTATGATGTCATTCTTTTGAAGTCAAAAAATATGTAGTAAGAATGTACAAGGAAGCAAAAAATATAGAAACAGTCTTTTGAGTACTGGGAATTATAACAAGAGGGATACATTAAGGTAGTGTAGTGTAACAGACACCAAATTATAAAACATGCAGGAAACAGTTCTTTTACTTTATCAATTTCCTGAAAAATAAACCAGTAACCTCAGAAATGCAAGAATACCACCATTTGGTTAACAGCACCCCAAGGGTTATAGGTAATAATTCACTACACTTCTTTTCTCAAATTCTCCTCGCACTGGCTTCTTTCCTTTAGGATGGATTTCATCTTGTTAACAAAATATTTGGTTTTATTTGTAAAGCAGAATAATTAATATCCTGATTGAAGTATGGAATAACTTACTTGAAGATACTCAGGGATCACACTTTTTAAAAAGGTCAATTTAGTTAGCAAAACCCTCAACTGGCCGGAACTTTCTATCATCCCATTTCACCCTTCCAAGAACTAGAATTACAAGTGTAGTCACCATGTCTGGCGACTTCCCCGTTTTTAGAGGGCATGTGCACACTCTGGTTAGAGCCCACCTCGCTCGCCGAGGCTGTCTGGTCCACGGGACTCACTCACGCACCCTCAAGTCTGGGAGCTCAAGCCGACTCTCACACTGCAGCCAGACTTCAGCTTCACTGTTTGGGCAGTGGCCATGCCCACCCCGAGGTCAGAGGTCAGCCGACAGCTCTCAGGATGCCAGTCATGGGGCTCTCAGCACACCCAAAACACTGGTGGCAAATCCTGGCTCCCAGCCCCCAGCTCAGGCCTTCCTAACCCTTTTGGTGGACAGGGTTTGAACTTAGGTCCTCAGATATTTCTTTTGAAAATGTGCACAACTGGTGTTATAATTGAAGCCCTGGTCTGGCTGAGAAACAAGGACTAACAGGAGGTCCAGGGAAGGGTGAAGTTTCTGTGGCAGGATGTGGCATCGTGGCTTCAATCTCTACGAGTCTAAAGCTTTGGCAGCATTATGTTCCTTCAGAAGAGTGACATCAGCTCGAGTCCAAGATGTTTTGAATTTAAAATGTTTGAGGCAATACTGCAAAGGAAAGGTTCTAGACTGTCTACAAAAGGGATCCCAGGCAGTGTCATGGCCAGAGTCACACAGGAAATGGCACAGTGCATTTCCCATCACTGCTAGCGACACTGTCTTACTCCCCATTGTGAGGAGGCCACCGTGGAGGTACACTGCCACGGCCGCACTGCGAGTGAGGAAACTGGAGTGCTGGGAGGATGGAGCGAGGACTTAAACATCCCACCAGACTGACCTGTTATCAGTGGGCACTCATGGAAGAGTAGAATCCGGATCTGAGGACAGCAGGTGACAATGGCCTCCACGGCATCGTCAGTCAGGTGAACACAGTGCCCCATGTGAATCTCCTAGTTATGAAAGAAAACCAAAGGAAGAAAACTGATCACCAACGACAGTATGCAAAAGTGGGGGGATCTTTCCCAAGCATTTACTTGGAAAAAACAAAACAAATACACAGTGGATTAACAATTGTTATTCTCTTATTATTTTGTTATGAAGTTTTACTTTATTTTTTCATAAAAAAGAAAACCAAGACAAAAAGCAAACTATGAAGAAAGGAACAACATAAGCCTGAAGAAATGAAGCTGCCTCCTGGTAAGGTGGACAGAAGTCTCCAGCACGCTAGCTAGGACCTTGGGGAAAACAGCACTGTTGCATCTCACAGAGCTGAATGTGTGGTGGCACACACTTGGCAATTTCACCCCCACGTATTCAGTTGAGAAAAATGAAAATGTCCCTAAACAAAGACATGGCCATAAATGTCCATAGCAGTATTCATAAAAGTCCAAAGCTGAAAGAACCAAGTGCTCGTTGCATAACGAATTATGGCAGAGCCACATTACAGACCAGCACTCAACAACAAGGAGTGCAGAATCCTCACGTGCAGCAGCATGCATGAACCTCAGAGACGCTAAATGAAAGCAGCAACAAAAAGCAAGCAAGCAGCCCAGGGACAAGAACATGCACACAGCTGCTCTTGGACAGAAGGCTGTGTGGCAATCCACACCCTTTCTATGAGGCTGGACAATGCAGCTGTCAGAACAGGGTGATGACAGGCTGCGCTGACATGGAGGCAGGGTCAGGCAGGCCCGAGCTCCTGGGCGACGTGGATGAATGTCAGCAACCGACTCACAGGCGTCGTACATCAGGAGATGTACGACGTGACTCTGACTCTATGGGATGCTAAGACTTCGGGGAGGTAAGAGTTTTACTCGAATTTTAATGTGACTTATCTTTTCAGTTTACTAATTTTTTTTTCTTTTTTTTTATGTGTGTGTGTGGCCAGCTCAACCCACCGGGGGGCGGGGCTGGCTGGCATGCGGTGCTGGGGGATTGAACCGCGGTCCCTGTGCTTTAGCTAAGCTTGTTCTAAGTAGGTGCTTTAGACCACTGAGCCATCTCACCAGCCCCCAGTTTACCAATTTATATTTACTCTGGGAATGGAGAGGTTGGAGCCAGGTATCAATGCAGTACCTGATTGATGAGACACTGGTCTTCTGGGTCCTAAAAAATAATTTCTGTGGGCCTGCCCCTTAGCTCAGTTCTTTAAGTGGCTGCTTCACCAAAGCAGTCAGGCTCAGGTTGCTGTGGTTCAGTCCCCACAACTCAAGCCAGCCAAACCTGCCCTGAAGGCATTCGGAGCAAAAAAAAAAAAAAAAATTCTGAGGGTAACATCAAATTCAGTTACCATTACTATTACAGACATTTAAGTTACCTCTAATTTCTTGGCACATGGCCCACTAACAAGCGCAACCACTCCACTGTCAGACACCTGTGCAGCGGGAAAAGAAAGCCTGTGAACAGTTATGAAAAATGCAGAATTTTCTAAAAGTTATATATTATGTAATTAACAGCCTTCTATTGGCAAATATGAGTTTCTTCATATGTACTTCCCACCCATACTGTCTAAAATAATTAAGGGGAATATAGAAATTGCATCACACTTATCAGCCACCCAAAACATGAAATGGCCAACAACTTCAACAACAGAAAAAACGCTGTTCTGACTGGTCATGGCAACACGCAGGGCCACACGTTACCTTGCCCTTTTGGGTGTGTCAGTTATTTACCTGAGTAGCTGAAAAGTCTACACACTTCAAAAGTGAGCAGTGCTCTCCTAAGGCGCACAAGGACACGTCAGTAATACTGAGGCAGCCTCCTAAGTCAATAATCTTGAGCAGCCGGCAGTTGAATGCAAGAGCGAGGACACCTTCATCAGTGAGGTTCTGGCATCTCTTCATAGAAGCTTCTTGCAGATAAGAACAAGACGAAGCCACAGCTTTTATTCCTGGGGGAACACAGACCATTGGCTATTCGTGTGTGTGTGTGTGTGTGTGTGTGTGTGTGTACACCACAAAACTTTGTGAGTTAGTTGCATGGCAGCAGTAGGTGGCAGAGGGAGGGACCTAGTGCTCTTATCTGCTGGTCTTGCTCACTAACCATGCTACAGAACTTGGGATTGGGCCAGACGGAAGACTTGGAACTTTGGAAGGCATTCAGCTTTATTTCGCTAGCAAGCGGATGGGAATCTTGGCTCCAAATCATTAGCCCCATCTTGGGGTTTCATAAGAAGAAAGTACAAAACACAGGTAACAAATATTCTGCAGCTGGTGACACATGTCTTATCATACACTCCCGGGCAGAATTTGTGCCATGCAAGCTAATTAGGGCTACTATCATGTAACAAGGAGGTCTAGGTTATAATGAGCAGGAAGAAAACACACCATTGTCTAAGGCCAAGCCAAGGAGTCCTTGAGGTGATAAGTCTCTGGAAAACTTGCCAGCAAACAAAACAAGGCCCAGCCCTGGGCAGGGTGCACTTGTCTTGTAGCTGCCACTGCAATGTTAAAGTTTAAGTTGTATAATTTTCTAACACGATGTGTTTCCCAGTTGCATCCTTGTGCAGTGTTAGAAGCTTAAATTTCAAGATTTCTTTTACATTTAAAACTGCCTCTACAACCACACCAACCAAACACAGAACAAACCAGCTGGGGGCAGTTCTGCAGAACCAGCATGCGGCAGCCAGCTCTGGGTCGGTGAAGTATACACACACCTTCACACTTGAATGTATTAGAGACAGCTATGTGAAGTAGAAAAGTGACAGGCAGTCAGAGAGGGCTGGGCCCTCTAGAGCTCAAGGCGGACACAACTGTGGCTGGAAGCGCAATCGCTGAAGGCCAGACTTCAAGAAAAAAGGAGCTGCTCACCACACAGGTCCCCGAGGGACCAACAGCAGTGGCTGATATTCTACGTAGGCACCAGTCACCTTGGGGAGGAGACCAAACCCCCTTAACCCACCCGTTCCAGGGGAGTCCTTGTCACCCCCGTCTGCTTGCCACCGTGACTTGTTTTCCCGTCTGATCCCCATTTAATCAGTATTAATACCTTAGTGACTGTACTTGTGATCTTATTGGTTCACTACAGTTTAGTCCCACCTCACACCTATCCAATGATTTTCCACTGGATCAATTACTACCTAAGTGACTCTACTGTAATCTTATCAATTTACATCTTAAGTTGCTTCATCTAGTGGCTTTGATTAATAAAACACCCCTGAGAAGTAGGCTTGGCAGGTAACCCACTTTCCAGCCTCCTTCTGTCCTCAGACTGAAGCTCACTTTCTTTCAACAAATCCTTCCAACTCTTAACCTCCACTGCTCCTAGAATCTACTCCTCCATTTTAAAGAACACAAACTCAGTGTTTTGGACACCTAGCAGGTTTGGAGCTTCATTCCCCAGTATCAAATGGCCACACCCGACTCAGGAGGCATCAAATTAAATGATCCAACATGGCAAAAGATGCAGCCGAGTGTGCAGTGGTAGAGGCTTGACAATACTCCGCCCTGAGTTTACCACAACCCTGCTTTACCTCTGCCCTTAAGTTAATGACACAAGTCGCCCTAAGGTTGTGCTGTTGTGGCCACCTGCATCCAGCAAAGGAGCGCAAGGACATCTGGAGGCAGAAAATAGCTCTGTTTACACCAGTGGACAGGCGGGGAGATGCTCCCAGAGAAGCCAGGTGGCGCAGGCTGGTCGGCTAGCATTTTATAAGATCTGTACACGGCAGTTACAAAAGCTGAAGGCTTGGCTGTCTTTGGTTCCATTGGCAGGGTGACACCATCTGTTACGAGGCTAGGTTAGTAAAAGCCTGCTACAGTGAGATACATCTCGCCTGTGCAGACAGGCCCTTGTGGTTACAGAGGTCAAGAAAGCATCACAGGCCTAGGAAGCAGTTAAGAGCTGGGCAGTTGCAAAAAGAGCAATCTTCGCTTTCAGTGGCCAGTGGGGAGTGGACATATAAACAGGGCACACCAACTGCACTGCTCCAGCCTCCCCAGGTAAACACTGCAAAGCTCACAGCTCAGACCCACGGTGGGGAGAAAGGCGTCCTCCTCGCCGTAGGTCTGCAAGCCAAGCAACCCACAGAACAGTGAGGCTGCCTGTTTTCTAGAGGCACTGTATCCACTTACCCTGGTTCTTTTCCCCGAGTTTTTGTTTTCTTGGTAAAGTATGTATGAATATACTACCTTAACTATTTTAAAGCCACACTTTGCTGGGATTAAGTGCATGATTAAGTTATTTTGG